TTTACATCTAATATCTTTCTGTTTCAACATCTGCAGTATTTGCAGATCTGATTCTGCAGTTTGCTCTTTCTACAAAATTTCATTCATGTTGGCTTGCTTATTTGTGTGTCTTGTGAGAACTTATTATCCTTGGAGTTGTATGAGAATTTTTTGTGGACTTAGTGTACGGTGCAGGGAGAATCTGAGTTTACTTCTGGCAGTTACTTGGAGATATTGCCAAGACAGGACAATTTTAAATTTTCAGTTAAAGTCTTAGAGGCTACACAGATAATATGACTTTTGACCCAAAGTCCAGATAAGAACAGACTTATAGTTAGAAAATTTCCAAGATGTTCTGTATATTTTTCTGACCTACCCATGGCCAATTTAAGCCAGCCAAGTTTTCCTACTATCTCCTGCTGTAGAGGCTAGTGTTTTTCTTGTTTATCCAATGAGGTGGTCAAATAAAAGGATTCTCAGATTCATGTAAGGGTCTCATGTGACTTTCCAGCTGACAAGCTTTGTCTTCTGTCCTCAATTCACGTTCTTCCAAAATCCAAGCTACAGGCAATAATGAAAAACAAATTCCCCATATCGCCTAGCACAATTCTAGTGCTGGCATGCTAGTTTGGATTTGTGCTCTTTGTACCTGGCTAGCCCCAACAAATTTCCCTAATTCACCTATCAGATTATCCATGTAGTTAAAAATATTTTATCCATTATTTTTAGTTTTTCTAGTTCACTATATTTCTAAAAACCAAACCATTTTTTCATATTAAATTGCTTCTAGATATCACTGATGCCTATTTTCCTTTACCTCCTAAATGCTAATTTGATTAATAGAGGTCCTGTTTTCTCCTTCAGGTGAAAACAGAAGAATATAAGGACTGCATATACCTCAAAACTATTACTCTTAGTAAAAGGCAGCATAGAATGGCAGTTACAGGGAACCTACACTAAGGCTAGATAGCCACCGAGAAAAGATTTTTTTTTTCTCTTTGTGCTCCCTTATCACAGAAAGGTATCTGAGCAGCATATCACTCAGATATTTTCCTTGTGGTTTCCCTCACTTTAAATTTGCATCCCAGTTAAAAGTTAGATAAAGTAGAATACAAACCCCCAGTACGTACACTACAAGTTGGAGAAAGGAGAAAAAACAGGGGTAAAGGGAAAATGCTCTTCACTCCATTGTTGCAAAACGATAGGCACCATTCCTATATTCATTCTTTCCTTCCTTCCTTCATTCATCGATATTTACCTAGCATTTACTATGTATAGAGCATTGTTCTAGGTGTTGGGGATACAACTGAATAAAGGAATATATGAATGATGACCATAAATGAATATATAAAAAGAAGATAAGAAAATAAACATGACAGCTCTTTGAAAATGACAAAATACTACAAAACTCCTTTGTTATTATCATCATCACAAGAGGATCTGGATAATTCTGTAGACTGTGATTATAAAAGCTGTGTTTTCCTTCCAAACAAGAGCAAATATACCTTAGTAGACTTGGAGTTTCAAAGCAATTTTCACTGGCAAAGTTTCTCACTTAAAGATATTTTCATAATTCTGTTAATCCATAGTTGGGACACTTCTCAACTCTCATTCAGTCACAAATGCGAAAGAACACTCTAAAATTCACATTAGCTTTTCCAATAAAGAAATTGATTTAGCCCATACAGTGTTCTAATTCAACTTCTATTTTCTCCAACAATAAATCTCAGGTTTCATTTCAACAACCAGACATGGACCAGAATGAAAGATTTAATGACGCTTCAGCTTGGTAGTTGTTGAGTAAGTGCTCTGATACATTTCTACACTATAACATTTAATGAGACTTACTCCCAACAGAGTATTTACTACATCAGTTTATTTCATAGTATTATATCTGCAGAAGCAAGATAGAGCAAAGGTTATTTTGGATCCTTTACCAATAAGCTTCCTGTAAGTAAAGAAAAGTGCAACGATTTAATTTACAAAATCATTTAAAAAGGCTAAATGCTCAATAAATTCTGCTTTATCTAGTTCAGACAACCTCAGAAGCTATTGTAACTTGGATATAAAAATGTATATAAAATTCAGGCATTTTGTACCAGCTTTCTATCCCTAACTTTGACTGGAACTGAATTTCAAAGGTTGTTGAGACAGTATTGGGATTTCTGGATAATATCTTTGAAACTCCCTCCTGCCTTGATAAGAAGAAGGGAGTCAGCAACTTATCTTACAAAAGGGAAGACTCTATCACTATGCCTATGCCCACTCCCATCAAAACTACACCCACACACACACACAGACACACAAAGACACACACAGGCACACACTTTCTCCTCCTCTCCAACCACTGCCATTTCTTGTCTGCAGCAGCCACTTTCAACTGAAGTGAGAAAAGAGAAGTCCCTGAAGGAAGACAACTTCAAAATCTTCTATCTTCTTCTAAAATCCTAAGAATATAGAAAAAGGTGTCTGAGATAAGCTGGACCTCTTATACAAGCATCACCTTATACAATTCTGTTTAGTACTATGAAAAATGTGATACACAATCCCATCTATCCACTCTTGCAAATTTCACCTCACAATACTAGTCACTCCTCATACACAGACTACTTCTACTTAAATAACCCAGGTACCCAAAAAATAATTTTTCACTAAAAAGTTATGCCATCTTTTGGACTGGGTTACATATATAATTTCTCTGGTAGTTCCAATAAACTAAGAATCGTAGAACAAGTTTTGTTGAATTTTGATTAACCACATTAAGCTCTACCTGTGAGAATTCAGTATAATACAGAAGTTGGAAATATCTTCTAGAGTCAGACATACTAGATTCACATCCTGGTTACAACCACTCACTACCACTCACTACCTGGTTGGTTACTACCACTCACTACCTGGTTACTACCACTACTACCACTTCTGACTTGAGCAAGTTAAAAAGCATACATAAGTCTCAGTTTTATTTTCTGTAAAACAAACAAACAAGAAAAAAACATATCTTATATGGACACTGTAACAATTAAGTGATAAATTTATGTTAAGTGTTTAGCTATCAAGAAATGTTACACATTAATGTATGGGGGACCTAATGTTCTTTTAGTATCACTGGTATAAAATTAGTTAGAAACATAATCTTGCCCACAGTGTGTTTTCAATCTTATTGTGAAGACAGAATGCTCATCTAATAGACAAGTTTACTGAGTACCCACTGCACAGGGCAAACATTTACATGATGGGGTATTATTAAAGAATCACCACTAATTTTCTACCTTAGTTAGACAAATAGGTCCTAAGATTTTCACATAAATGCTAATAATTAGGAAGTTAACAGATTTTTTCATTGATCCCAAAAATTAGGAATTTAATAATGTTAGGTTAGAAATGAAGAAACCTGTTTAAGACATGTAACTAAAGGAAAAGCATATGGAAAGGCTATTCTAAACTTAAATGAATTAGATATCTAATAAGTTTATTGTGACAGTAATAATGTTAAGAACATATAGGAATTATAGGTTATGCGTTTATTTTTTTAAGTTATCAGTAAAACTTTAGTAATTTTAATTGTGTTGATTTCTTGATTATGGAAGAATCTTCTGCCAAATAGTCACCTCCACAACTAATAATGAAATCTAAGATTTATCGAGCACTTACTATGTGCCAGTCACTGCTATGAGCATTTTGACATGTATTATTAATTCACTGACGCAGACAACACTAAGATATAGGTCCTATTATTATCCTCAATTTATAGGTAAGAAAACTGACAGTTCAATAAAATAGCTTGCTTAAGGTCACACGGGCAGTATCCACCAGACCTGGGATAGGAACTCAGGCATCTGGGCTCCTGATCCCTTATCTTTAAGCATTACACCGTGTTGTCTTCCATTAAGCAAGTACTTATCTGACTTGGATAACCAATGATCTTTGACATCATACTGGAATGTCTAACAAATCTCTCAACTCAACATGTTGAAAATTGAGTTGCTGATCTTCCTCTCAAAAATGGCTTCACCCACAGTCTTCCCCATCATAGTTGATAAAAACTTAATCCATCCAGTTGCTCAAGCCAAAAAACAACAACAACAACAACAAAAACAACCTTGTAATTATCTGTGGTAGACACAGAGGTTTACTGCCCACATCCCCCTTCCAGGCAGGACTTGTTGCCTACCTGTGGAGGGTGAGGCCAGCAGATGGCCCCCCAGCTGTCAGTTCCTTCGGGGTCTGCAGAAGCTGCAGAGGGCTTATCCCCAGCCCCCCTGCCTGCAGGTAAGACCCTTCCCAGGGTAGGGTGACCTGCTTCCAGTGATTGAAAGAGGCCTGGGCCTGGCTATTTCTTGAGGTTACCACTCTCTCCAGAGCTCCCTACTCATTGGTGGCTTTGTGGGTCTGGCTCACAGGTAGACTTCTTCCTCTGCTCAGTCCTACTCCCTTCCTCTCCCCTCACACATGTTGATTCCTAATAACACCTTGTATCCCAAATTCTGTCCAGTGTGTGCTTCAAGAGGAGCTAACCTGCAACACCAGCCATGACTCTTCCCTTTTCACTTACACCCCACAACCATTCTGTCAAATCCGGTTGGCTCTACTTACAAAATTTAGCCTTAATATGCACTAGCCACCCTAGTCCAAACTAAAATATTAGGATTTCAAGAGAGCAGCACTCAGTTGTATCCCAAGCATAAAGAACAGCGCCAAAAATAAGTATTTGTGGAATGAATAAATCCTGCATTTCATAAATTGATCTGTGTAAAATAAAGTCATCATTTCAATGTAATTAACAATCCCAATTTAAATGCACTGGCTTCCTTGGCAGAGATGTACAGGAATCAGAAGTTTACTGATGGAATAGTGTCCTGCTATTCAATTCTTTGGAAAATACAGACAATGATAGAGACTGATTAGGTCACTGGATTTTTATTTACTCATACTCTGAACTCCAACCCAAGGATCTGAGAACACACATCTATTAATTTCCACATTGGTACATCAAATCACATTTTAATTTTCTCTCAACTTACCTCAAGCTCATCAAGGGCACTTCCCAGGGTTGCTGCCTGAGGTTCTGGTGGGACTAACACATTCTGGATGCCTTGTGAAGCATTTGAAATTACATCGAGGGCGTTCTGAATTTCTTCACAAACTGTGTCCTTGCTGGCTTTGAGGGAAGCGACATCAGAATGTTCCAAACAAGCTGAACAAATTGAATGCAATATGGGGGAGTTCTCCTTCAATGAGGCCCGGGCACCTGCAATTTCATCCCTCTGATTTGGAGATTTTAGGTCCTGAGGAAAGAAATAAAAAGAGAGGTTATGGAAGAAAGATTTATGCCAAGAAACTCAATTTTTCTGCCAATATAAATGAAAAGATAATAGACACTAGGAATTCATAACGATAAGTTAAAATAAAGGGCATAAATTACTCCTATACTCCTCCTGATTCTGTTAAAATTTCTGTAATAGGAAAGCTAAGCCATAGTAAATAAAGGTTACAATGGTACAGATGTGTGGTAACTGAGTAACTCTTACATTTGTTAGTCATATACTTATAAGTCAGAAAAATACTTTGGCTTTCACATTATGAAGTGAATTATAAGACAGCTTGAATTACAAGCATGCTGATTACTTATTTGCATAGATGGTGATGATTGCATTTAACCTTTTTGTTAAAACTAAACCAATTAAGTTAAGAATACTAAATTAAACTTCCCACCATTCAGCTATCTTCCACTCTTTTTCAGAAATACTTGCTAATAAGTTAATCCTGGATTTTTCTTTCTTTGACATTTATTCAAACAAATAGTTATTGAGCATTTAGTATATGCTAGCCCTTGTGCTTAGATGTCAAGTGCACAGAAGTGAACAATCCTGCAAGGACCTTGTTCTCCTGAAGCTTATGTTCTTGTTTGAGGGGGAGGGGGCCTAAAGACAAACGGATAAACTAGGTAAAACCAATACACAAGACAATTTCAGGTAATGAAAAATGCTATCGAGAAAACACAACACTGACTGACTTGAGAAGAGAAGCTCTTTAGCTTGGGTGGTCAGAGAAGATATTTCCTCAGAGATGACATTTGCAATAAATATAAATGAAAAGCATTTCAGGGAGGAGAGGAAAGAGAAAGTCCTATATAAGTGACAACTGGTTAAAACTAGCTCAATATACAGTGAAAAACCCTGGCAAGTACTCCTTTAACCAAGAGATGAATGGTAACATCATCAGTGATGTCACATGGCTAGCGGGTGCTCCTTGATATGTTGTGACAAGACGAGTACTTCATCTGTCTGGAATTCTCTCCAAAAGCCCACAGTCTCAGTCTAATCATGAGAAAAACAACAAACAAAACCAGACTGGGGAAAATCCTACATGATACCTGGACTGTATCCCTCAAGACTTTTAAGGTCACAAAAAACAAAGAGACTGACTGATAAACTGTCACAGACCAGAGGAAATTGGGGAGACATGATAACTAAACGCAGCATAGAACCCTGGATCAGATCCTGGAACAGAAAAAAATACATTAATGGGAAAACTGATGAATTCCAAAAAAAGCCCAGAGTTTAGTTAATAGTAATGCATCAATGGTTGTTCATTGTGGCTAATGTAAGACATTAACAATGAAGGAAATCAGAAGAAAAGTAGATGGGAAATTTCTGTACTATCATTGCAACCTTTCTGGAAATCTAAAATTATTAATATAAATAAAAAGTTTATTTTAAAGAAAACTAATTCAAGGGAACTTAACAATAACTTATGCATTCCACATACAATATCTCATGTAATCCTTATAACAACTCATGATACATATTATTCTCCTTTTTAAAGATGAGAAAACTGATATCTAGAGAGACTGAGTTCATGAGCCAACTGACAAAGCTAAATGGTGGCATTTCTTGCATTGTAACCCAAGTCAGTGCAACTGCTAAGCCATGATCCTAACAGCTATGTTATACTCTTTCCTGCATGGGAAGGATTTCTCTTATTTGCTACTACACAAGGATGTGAGGACCTGTGTTGTATAATGACTTATAATTTATAAAGTGCTTCTGGATAGTATCTCACTGACCATCACAACACCCTTTAAGGCAATAAGGCTGGTGTTATTAGCCCCATTTTAACTAAATGAGTATTTAGTCTAAGGAGATAAAAAGGCTGATAAAAGAACAGATGTAAACCTAAGTCTTCTGATGGCAAATCCCATGACTCTGCTACCTTCAGATAATGTTACCTGAGGTTAATAAATGGCAGCACTACTATATTTTTAGCTCCTTTCTTTCTGAAAATAAAGGCTGTCTGCTGCTTCATGCAGGATTTGGGGGTAATTAACTTTTTTAGAAGATGTAGGGAAGACAGAAGTAGCTGTCTACCCACTGTTCTTAGCTAGGACATGGAAGCAACCTAAGTGTCCATGGACAGAGGAATGGATAAAGAAGTTGTGGCACATATATACAATGGAATATTACTCAGCCATAAAAACAAACAAAATTGAGTTATTTGTAGTGAGGTGGATGGACCTAGAACTTGTCATACAGAGTGAAATAAGTCAGAAAGAGAAAAACAAATACCGTATGCTAACACATGTATACGGAATCTAAAAAAAAAAAAAAAAGGTTCTGAAGAACATAGGGGCAGGACAGGAATAAAGACGCAGATCTAGAGAATGGACTTGAGGAAATGGAGGGGGGAAGGGTAAGCTGGGATGAAGTGAGAGAGTGGCATGGGCTTATATATACTACCAAATGTAAAATAAATAGCTAGTGGGAAGCAGCCACATAGCACAGGGAGATCAGCTCGGTGCTTTCTGACCACCTAGAGGGGTGGGATAGGGAGGGTGGGAGGGAGACTCAAGAGGGAGGAGATACAGGGATATAGGGATATATGTATATGTATAGCTGATTCACTTTGTTATACAGCAGAAACTAACACACCATTGTAAAGCAATTATACTCCAATAAAGATGTTAAAAAATAAATAAATAAAGGACATCTGCCAAGAAAACAGCATGTGCAAAGGCCTGAGGCATAACAGAGCAAGTAGTATGCATGCTACTGCAGGTAGCACTACAAGTACAGGGACGCTAAGCAGGAATGGTGATGAATCCAGCTAGAAACGCAGGCAGATGCCATGTTAAGGAACTGCGAGAGAAACAAGCTCAGATGTGTATTTTCAAAGATTGCTCTAGCAGTGACCATTTAGTGATTAGAGAGAATGAAATTTCAGTCAGGGAGACCAGGCAATAATCCAGGTAAAAGACAATGAGTGCCTGAACGCTGAACACTATTGCTAGGCTGTAGTAGGATGGATCCAGAAATATTTAGGAGGCAAAAACAGTAAGACTCTGTGATACTTAGATGGAAGGGGGTGGAGGTATCTAGAAGCATCTGGAAAATTGTTTTCACCATTGTGCACATCGTGATGCATTCAGCCAGATGGAGAATACAGAATGAATAATGCATTTGGAAGAGAAAGGTAAAGTCCTTTTTGTCATCTGTGAAATGTGAGATGCCAGCATAATATCCAAATTAAAATATACTATACATGGATCTAGAATTAAGCTAGAAATAGAGATCTGTGAATCACTAACTCATAGCTGGGAGCCAAAGTCATGTGTGTGAAGGTTACAGGGCCTTCACCCAGGATGAATGTTACAATAAGGAGAAGAACCTAGGATTCATCATAAGTTGTTTCTTGAAGATATAAACCTGAAAATTTTGTGTGCTAGACCAAGAAGCTAAATATGTATTGTAAATTACCAAGAAGGACATCAGAAGATGCCGAACTCTCCAAAAGCCAAAGAAGCAAGCAAAAACACATGCACACCCTAGAGTTTAGGACCCAAAGTACTGTGGATAATTATGGTCACTATACTTTAAAAAAAAGAATTAAAGAAATGTTTTTAAGAAAAGCAATTTGGAAGACAGGATGACTTCTGTATGAGGGAGTTAAAAATATGGGGTCCGTTTACTTCAAAAAAGTGAAATTTATATTGGAATACACATGATTTTTTAATAACCTAGACATAATGAATGAATTTGACAAGTTGTTAATGGACTTCTTTACTAAATCTAGAAACAAAAGATCAAAGATGAAGCTTTTTAGATTTGAGTGAAATCTAAATAGATATAAAATAGATATAAAAATATATCTATTCCATCCACCTCCCTAGAGTCTGTCATACAGAGTGAAGTAAGTCAGAAAGAGAAAGACAAATACCGTATGCTAACACATATATATGGAATTTAAGAAAAAAAAATGTCATGAAGAACCTAGGGGTAAGACGGAAATAAAGGCACAGACCTACTAGAGAATGGACCTGAGGATATGAGGAGGGGGAAGGGTAAGCTGTGACAAAGCGAGAGAGTGGCATGGACATATATACACTACCAAACGTAGAATAGATAGCTAGTGGGAAGCAGCCGCATTGCACAGGGAGATCAGCTTGGTGCTTTGTGACCACCTAGAGGGGTGGGATAGGGAGGGTGGGAGGGAGGGAGACACAAGAGGGAAGAGATATGGGAACATATGTATATGTATATGTATAACTGATTCACTTTGTTATAAAGCAGAAACTAACACACCGTTGTAAAGCAATTATACTCCAATAAAGATGTAAAAAAAAAAAAGAATAAAGATGTTAAAAAAATGTATATATATATATATATTCATATTGCTGTCTCCCTCACTTCATTATACTTCCCTTGAATGAAAGCACTATAACTTATTTATTTTTTATTCATTATCTAGTAGTACATGGCACGTATTAGGAACTTAATCATTTTTTTGAAGAAACAAATAGACAAATGAATAAGAAATAAGTAAGAGAAAGTTATGTTCAGAAAGGATAAGGAACTTGGGATATGATTATTCCAAGAAATCAAATGTGTGGAAAATATACATAATCTGGAGAGTCTAGACAAACTTGTACATGATAATGCCACAGAAAGCTAAAGAGTAAAATTAAATTATACCTATCTGTACACCAAATGTTAGTGAAGCCATTGATATAACTGCTTTGTAAAACCAAGAGTGCCTACCGAAGCTAAACATATGTATATGTTCATGAACGTATATGAACCAGCTCTATTCCACTCCTGGGAGAAGATACACTCTTACAGAAATATTTTCATATGTTCATTAAAAGACATATAAAAGTGTTCATAGAAACACTCTTCACAGAGCCCCAAATTAGGGACAACCCAAAGTAATGAGAATGAACAAAATGCAGTTACATGCTACAATACGAAATATGGAATGAAAAACACCAGACACGAAAGAGTACATATTA